AAAAAAAAAAAAAAAAAAAAAAAGCCCATAAAAACTCCAAAAACACAAAATATGAAACCATAAATTTGCAGGTATCTCCTCGTTGACCCAACAAACCTTCATGCCAAATTTGGGGGGGGGGGAATAGTGGTAAAAAACGCAGCTTTTGTGGTTAAATATCAAGCATGTCGTGTCTGTTGAATTTAAACACGGCTACTTTTAGAGAACAACAAGTTGTCCTGGTAACATAATCAAGAAGGCCTTGTTCAACCAACAAAATCTAAATACAAGTAAGATCTGATTGTTTCGTAGATTGCTCCCATTCTCTTGATTCATTTCTCGCCAAATTAAAGTTAACACTGAAATTTCAATTGGTTGTCATAGATCAGCATGCATTATAATTTATATATTTCTAATTCTAAATCAAAATGTGTCTTCCTTCACATACTGTTGGATTTACGGTGTACAAATGTAGGCTAAATCTCAAAGCCCGGTATGAAGACTATAGCCTAGGTTAGTCAGCATTTATTATCAGAGAAATTCACGTTCAATTCTGCAACAATGGAAGTATAGCTAAATTAAAATCGCTAATATGTTGATACATGATATACGTACTCTAAGGCCCGGCATGGCCAGGTGGTTAGGGCGCTCGACTCGCTATCTGAGGGTCGCGGGTTCGAATCCCCGTCACATCAAACATGCTCCGCCCTTTCAGCCGCGGGGGCGTTATAATGTGACGGTCAATTCCACTATTCGTTGGTAAAAGAGTAGCCCAAGAGTTGGCGGTGATGACTAGCTGCCTTCCCTCTAGTCTTACACTGCTAAATTAGAGAGGGCTAGCGCAGATAGCCCTCGTGTAGTTTTGCGTGAAATTCAAAACAAAAACAATTAATCATACCCTAGAACGCCACTTAGTTAAGGCGCAGGGTACTCCAGTGGCACAGTCTGCGGACTTACAACGCTAGAAACCTAATTTCGATACCCGTGGTGGGCAGAGCACATATAGCTCATTGTGTAGCTTTGTGCTTAACTTTAAACAAACAATAAGGTGCAGGATTAAACTCTAAGGAAATGTTTAAACTTTGTAAAAAGAACGAAAACAATGATCATGATTCGTATTTTAAGTTTTTTAAATATTTTCTTGTGTTTCAGGCAAAACTGTATAAAAACATCAAGTTCAAGAAGTAAAATGCTACAAAAACGTGTGTGTACTATTTCAGTAAACATTCCCTACAATAAAACCACAAGGAAAAGTTCTGCTTTTTACCCGTCCAACCAGGATAAGGATATCTGCTTTAGTTGTCGCTGTTGAAACGCCAACTTTGAAAATATATGTTCTTCTTGTGATATCTGTGATGTAGACCCAACCAAGATAGCGAGTGGTCTGTTTTGCTGACGCAAAGACACGTAAGTCAGGTCGTTCACCTCTGGCTGTAGAGTGAATAAACAAATCAACCAACAAGCAAGACCAAACTAATATCAACGTTTTCTTGTTTCAAAATTCCTTAATTTTCATAAGAAAAAAACATCAACCAACAACCGCACACACACACAAACAGGGTGAAAGAAAGCTGTATTTAACCAGTTAAAATGTTAGTAATAAATCCGAGAGGGTATGGTTATATCCTTTAACATTTATCAAATTCAGTGTGTATGTGATTACGTTTATATCAACATGAAAGAAGAATAGCTTTATATGTAGCCATATTATGGATAAATGTGTGTATATATATATATGTATATGACAATAATAAAAAGATTTGAATGTCACTTGAAGTGTTTCGTTGTAAAAACAAGTAAGCCTGAAACATTTAGGCTAAAGATAAAACTATTTTAACTTTCTTCTTTTATACTCTCTTTGAAATTAGGGCTAGTTGAAGAGAGAGAGAAAAAAATAACATCAAAAGTTGCATCATATTTAGTGACAATTTAAAAAAACAAACAAACTCTTTGTTGAACTGAAATGCATTTGGATTATTCTTTCTATCATACAAGCAAGTGTGTCTAGATTACAGCAATGTTGTTTGTTTGTTTTTTAATTAAAGTAGAATGATAGTGTGAAACTAGAGACGTGTATTTAATATACTGTTACGTCTCCGTTTGTTAATTAACTTTCCGTAACTTCGTTCCGACGAAACTTCAGCGACACAAGTCCTTACTTAATAAAACTGGTTTATTCTTTCTGAATACGATACACTTATTTTCAACAGTCGCTG